AATAATAATCTATGAGATTGGTGTAAACCCAACAAAAAAAAATAATATTTTTTTTACTATTAACAATGCCAACACACCCTAATATTATTTAAAAAAACAGAACTAAACAAAAAACTCAAAACAAAACACTATTCCAATCCAGTAAATAATATTGATTTAATCACACCCTTTAAAATTTTGAACTAAAATTAATGTGTTGAAGACGTGCATTTTCATCGATCACCCTTCTCTTAGATTTCCAACAGCATGATCGTCGTTTCCGGAACTCGAAACAAATCCTTCCTTTTTTGAACCATAAATGAGTGGGATCGGTATGTTGTCTTTTAAAACATCATTAATCACGAGACAGTCGCAAGTCGATTATCATCTGGCATGTATTGGTTAAGCAAAGCGTTAGTAACAACAAAGTCTTTGATGGAGACTACAAAATTCATGGGCATTTCCACCAATCGACGAGCACGAGAATTAAGCATCTCACACAATGATCAGATGTAAATATGACACAAAGATGGTACAGGGGTCCACAAAAGCACGTTCAATAGAAGCTGATTCCTTTATATGCCGTTTAGGATCAACTACGCTCGTGTTTGGCTGGCTCCGGTGTGTTGCCTGAGTGTGTGGATCTCTGACGACCCAAATTTACACACATTTCCTTCTTTGAGCTCCGTTAATTTAAAAATCAAAAACAAACTAAATGGAACTAACAGTGCATGATCTCTCTCTTTTCATATAGTCTCAAGCATCTTCGATCCCAAGTTGCCTAAGAGAATCTGGACCAACAAGGAATATACGTCTTGTTGTATGGTATCTGAAAACAACTACTCCTTTAAATGATGTCCTTGGTATTCCATCCTAGAAATGGAAAGGAAAAAAATCAATTGAGGGCACAATTGTTTTCAAAAATGATAAAAAGATATCTGATTCTGAATGCAGACAAGCACAGAGAACAAGAGTGAGCATACATGGCGCAGCGCAACACAGATAGGATTATCACCTGTTGCACTAAACATGTCACCGAATAGTGAAATGTGATAACATGATAGGAGGAGCTACTCAATCCATGCGATTTACCCAAGAGCATAAAATAAAGAGAAGAATTTTCTGGTTTCATTCCATTTTGCATAACTTTATCGGAGTTAGAGCAGAAATACCTTCCACTCTTCGAAAATACCAAATTGGTGTGCAATCCATTCAAAGTCTGGTTGGTCCCTGTACTGGATACGCACATCACCCTCTATATTATAGGCCTTAAGAACAGCATCAGTTCCATGGACAGGTTTAGCTTTTCTCACAATGTTGGCAAAATGCTTTGTATAATTGTCCTGAGAAGAGCAGCAGTACATAATTTATTGACTAGAATCAGCTTTTAGGGCTTCCTTCACTTCACATGAATTAAAATTGTCCATTACCTTTGTCAGGTAGCTTAAATCCTTTGCCTTCCAATCAACCTTTTGAAGAAGAGGCAAAAGTGAAATTCATTATAATGATAATGATATACATTATAAGTGCAGACACTTCAACTAGGGGGAAAAAATGTGGAATATGTAATACCTTTACATTGTTCAGTTTAATAGGCTGGAGATATTGCTGGAAAAACTGCCCTAAACTAGAGCCCTGTGATCATAAATCCACACTCAATTAGAGGGTAAAGACATGTGGGTTCTGATATTTGGTGACATTTTATTGCATTAACCTTCTGTTTTGTGATATTATGAAAATAAATGGTATTTCATCCCCTGCATGTTATACAATGATCAATCAACTGGTTTGTAAGCTTCTGCCTAAGTGGTTCTCAATACATTAATATTAATCAACACTTTCTAAATATGTCAGCCTGACACAGATGCATCCAAACAAATATGAAGTGATATAAGTGCAGTAGTACATAGATAGATATACATACATGCTCACCGAAGTTATATGTCCGGCATACTTCTGGACGAATGAACTGTCGACCTTTATGATTCTCCTTTAATCTCAACCAATCATCCCAGTAAGTGAGTTTTTGTCAAGGGAAATGCTTTCAATCACACTATAAAAGCCAGACTTCAAAATGATATGACAAAATAAAAAAAGGATATGCTTTTGGCCATTTAGGGGATAGTTCGTCCCAAATAGATTTAGTCAGCATCCAGCCAAGTCCAGGAAAGAAATCTGACCGATAAAGTTCATCTGCAGAATACATCAAATAGCAGATCAGAATCAAAAAGCAGTTCAAGTTTGTTGCTCAAATCATTACCAAAACCTTTTCCAAACACATTCTGCCTGAGCTCATTGAAAGTTAAATATCCCATCACACGAGTACAGTTTAGAGAGGAGAGGTGGTAGTATAAAGAGTAAATGAGAAAATAACTTACAAGGATCATGCACAAACTGCTTTTGTCCATTGTCATTCCATGAAGAAACAGCCATGATGGACCTACCATGTTAGTTACCAAATGAGAAAGAAACTAGCTTACTGAAAAGTGAAAACCTAAGATCCCTAGCTTTTTATATTAAAATTTAATGTGTAGGAAATAGAAGGCATGGAAAATAACGTACTTATCCTTTTCAAGAAGAGCTGCAGCAGCCTCAAAGTAATCAAAAAAATCAGGGGCGATTTCCATATCATCTGTTTTAGAAGCAATACTTTAGCACATACTTTCTCTCAGTGAATATAGAGATAAAAAGAAAGACATGAAGAACGATTCCACAGCAGGAGAAGAAGTCCACCTTCAAGTATAATTACTCGGCTGAAATTATGCTTGTAGAATAATTGATCCATTGCCCATTTGTAATGCCCTGTAGAAGATTTACATTTCAGTTAGTAAATTTGAGAATAAAGCTATTACACAAGAAGTAATCATTCCTTACTTGCAATCTTGTAGTATGCAATCAATTCCCCAGGTCTTTCTGTTTGTACTGGTTCAGAATCTAAGTGCTGCAAATGAATGAAAAAGAAACTAAAATAATCAAGTATTGCAACTGGAATGAGAAATGTTCCAAATACACAGCTTGATATACCACATCATATACAGATACTATTCAAGCAACCATGAATATATACCAGATAATAGATAAGGACCTTGCATGCACACACAAAAATACATAGAATACAGTTTACCTGAATGTACATTAGCTGATTATAACTCATAGCCTTGCTTCTTACATTTGGGTCTGATCCATCCTGAAAATTTGAAGAAAAAAAATTACTGAAAGAAAAGCAGAACCAGCTATATAGTTTTCTTATACGGTATATCTATCGATAGTATAGTAGGTGTGCATGCCATGCTCAGAAGCAAACCTAATTTGCACTTTGACAAAAAAGGAAAAACAAAAGCTAATATGAGTACCTGAGACACAAAAAGTGGATATTTCGAAGCAACAGAGCTTTGATACCTGTCAACTTAGAAAACCAGTCAGCTGGTGATTAGAATTGAGTTAAATGCACTAGAAACAAACTACATGAACACGAAACATACTTCAAAATAGACTCAATTGTCCGTTGTAAATAATCAGCACGATTGCAGGCCATGATCACAACGGCTGCCACTGGTACCTGAAAAATGAAGCAGAAAATAGCTTGTATAATTTAAAGCGATGACTGCAATGGCATGTATATATGTGTGTGTGTGTATATATATATATATATATATAACTTCAGAAATTGTCCGCTGTTCTGTACCTGTGCCTTGTCAACCACTTTTCGAACGCCTTTTCCTGCAATATCAGCATTGAGAAAACGTAAATTTCTTATAAATTTGGATCAACACTAAAGAAAAATATAACTGTTTACACCAAACACCAACAACCTAAAAAAAGACCAAGATAAATAGGAATCAACAGAAACCAATGCCACTCAGTAAAACAACTGGATTCATAAAGCTTAAGTGAGTGATAAAATTTGGTGAGGTACATACTTTCAAGATCATCGAGAAGCGCCTTGAGCTGTCTACACTCTTCGGCTTGACGTCTATTTTGTTCTGAAAATTATTTCAATATAAAAAAAATCAAATTCAGTTCAAATAATGGTTAAAAAACAGAGAGAGAGAATGAAAGAAACCTTGAAGAGAAACAATATTGGATTGGTGAATGCTGATTTGATCAGTAAGTAATCGCGATTGAGAAGTACAATGATTCTCTGATTCAAGCGCAACAGCAAGCCGATCTGCGTACTCTGATAGCGTCGCAGATAGCCGCATCTGAAATTCCACAAACCATTATAAAACTTGACGATGGATGGATGCATCCATCTGTAACAAAAGAAGAAAAGAATTGAAGAATCGACCTGACCTACCTACCTGAATGTAGAAGAATGCGACTACGGCTGTTATCAGAAGAAGGCATCGGTAATCGCATCTTATTTTTCTCATTTATTTAATTTTTATTTTATTTTCAAGTCTTCTTCATTTTGTCTCTGCTCTCTCTCTCTCTCTCGCTGAAGCCTGAATGTACAGCACTGTCAATTGCGCAGCGAGGGTTTTTCCATCCTCGCGCGTGCTGGGGTGTGTGCTTGCTAATTTTTAATGTATTAAAATAATTTTTTTATTTTTAAAAATTATTTTTAATATTAAAATATTTAAAAATATTAATTTTAAATAGAATAAATAAATAAATTTTAATTTTTTTAAAAAATACTTTAAAATAAAAACAGTTATACTCGCCTTGTTAAGTTATTATTGTTTGTAGTCTCTTCCCATTTCAACATATTCTATTTTGAAACGCCATATTAACCACCTACCCAATAATTCCTTGCCACGTTTAGCCATATTAGCTATTTTATCCTCACCACCCTGCACTCTGTATTATACGCAGACTTTTCTAAAGCTTATTTGTGTATGAAAAAATATAAATATAAATTAAAAAATCTATATTTATATAATTAAATAAATAAAGAATGTTAAAAAAATTTAAAAACTATTAATGATAAATAAATTTAAATTTAAAATATATATATATATATATATATTCAGATATTTATTTATAGTACGGCTTTGACTAGCTGATTTTGATAATTTTGAATATAGAAATTAAAATTTTATTTTATTAAATAATAATAAAAATAAATACATATAAAATAAAATATAAGAAAAAATATTATGCAAATTTATATATATTAAAAATATTATCCAAAAATATTTTTTTTATTTATATTAAATATAAAAAAATTATAGATAAATTAAAATAATATCTTTATAAATTAAATGCAGATAAAATAACTAAAAATTAATTATTATTTCAAAGAGGTTATATAAATAAAATAAAAGAAAGAATGTATGTTAATTTAAATATGAATAAAAAATAATTTTAAAAAGATATATAAAAAAAATTGGAACAAAGGGAATAAGGGTGGAGATAAAAAAAGAGAGAGAGAGAGTAGAAGGCAGCAAAAAATCTTCGAGAGGGTTAAATTTAACAAAAGTATAATTGTAATAAAAGGAGAAAATTAAAAGAATAAAAAATAAAATAAAAAAAGAATCATAAACTTTAATTAAATGATGAAATTGAAAGTTAATAAAACTTAAAAAAAAAACAAAGGAAAAAATTTACAAATAAAAAGAATAAGGCTAATTTTGAAGAAATAATATATGAGAAATTGTAATTAAAGTAAAAAATTGAAATATAACAAAAATTCCATAAAATGGTTGAGAACAAAAATAAAAATAAAAATAAAAAAATAAAAACTAAAATTTAAATATAAAAAACAAAGATAGCTAGGTATACTTTTTAGAAGATGAAAAAAAAAAAGACATTACCACTTATGATAATACGATTATCCTTTGCATGCACGTATCATATACATTAAAAATGAACGCAATTATATTTTTAATACCACAACAAAAAATAGTTTTTCAATAATGAATATTGCTATATGTGCTGTTCAAAAAACGCGTGTGGTGTCCACATCCATAATATACACTAATAATGTTTTTAAAATTATTAAAATATAAAAATGCTATTTGTTGTGCCTAATTAAAAAAAAACCGTGAAGGAAAGACTAAATTATCATTGAAAGACAATTTCCTTCTTTTTTTTTGTGCATTTCAAGGTTATTTTTTGTGATTTTGTTGAGCAATAAAAAATAAAATTACTATAAAACCCTTGAGCATAAAGTTAATTTTTTTTTTACCTATAAGTTACTTTGGCAGCTATACTATTATAAGAAAAGATAAAAAATCCTTTGTGCCTCTATTGAATACGGAAAAGACATGTGTGTCCTTATGAAAAAACCACAGCACCTCATACCTTGCCTTTTGTCTTGTGTAAATAAAAGAAAAATAAGATTTTCAATGTTGACTTCCACAATAAAAACCCTATATGTTTTCTATAATAAACCAACTCAGTGTTTGATTCCTCTAGCTGAGACATGTTTGTTTTGTCTCTCCAATTAAACATATCATATTTTCTTTTTTATCTTTAGATATTAATCAAATAGTATCCAAAAGCAATTAAATATGGCTTATGTTTTACATTGATCATAGATTTAAAAGTGTTTGGTAAATTAATTTATACCACGATTTTGCATGAATCTCATTGAAAATTCTCTTAAAATATTAGTTATAAAACGTAACAATTTATACTTTATTAACTATTTTTCTCAAATCTTAATTGGAAAAGTTATTACCATATCAAATACATATTTTAATACCACATTAGGTATTTTTTTTAAGGATATTAAAATTTTATTTTTTATATTGGAATAATTTGTTTTTTCTTTAGAATCACGTTGAAACCATTTATATGGTTATATAATGAATTGACGTATTTTAAAAATACTTTTATGTTTTTACACTTGATTGTTGTTGATGATGTAGCCATGTGTTCATAATGCTTGTCTACAAATGATTAACTAGATTTACTGAAATCATTTGTTCTAGAAAAAATTTAATATTATTATTCTGTTGAAAAAAAAAGTATATGGTTAACGGTTGCTGAAATTCTAGAGCGTTGAATATGACCATGTAAAATATTTACCTATAGGTAATAGTTAGCTTATGATTATTGATACCAGGACATAAACCTTAGATAATGATTGTCAGCCCTCCCAGGGAGGATCATGTTGTAAAATCAAACTAGTCCAGGGATGAAATCTTGGGTTGTTTTTAGTTTATTGGGGTGATTTGACTTGGGACTAGAGTTCTGGGGATATGATTACAATTTGGCCTTGCCATTAACAGATCATTCCTTGAATCTCCGTCTATCCCTGTTTTTGGGCTGGCGAAGGTTGTAATAGCGCATCATTTTCGTTACCTGTTCAAAATATCATCAGCAACCAATCTCTCTTCCAATTATTGTTGTCTATCAAAACAAACAAAGTGTATCAATCAATAAAAAAATGGAGTCTGGAAAAAATGCAGCATTCTCATCTGCAAAAGCTCTACCAAGAGAAGACACACCTCTCATACCCAAGTCCACGCCTCTATCCTCTCAATCCAAGACTTTTGCAAATGTATTCATTGCTATTGTTGGTGCTGGTGTTCTTGGTCTCCCTTATGCTTTTAAACGCACAGGTTGGATAATGAGTCTTATGATGCTTTTCTCTGTTGCTGGTTTAACTCATTACTGTATGATGTTGTTAATCCATACACGTAGAAAGCTTCAATCTTTATCCGGGGAATTCGCAAAGATTAACTCCTTTGGTGATCTGGGTTTCACCGTTTGTGGTTCTATTGGGAGGTTTGTTGTTGATGTTATGATTGTTTTGTCTCAAGCTGGATTTTGTATTGGTTATTTGATATTTATTGGTAATACCATGGCTAATCTGTTCAATGCATCATCACCTGATAGCTTGCCTTCTCAAGTTATTGCCTTCTCAATGTCCGCTAAGAGTTGGTATATATGGGGCTGTTTTCCTTTTCAATTGGGATTAAGTTCTGTTGCAACGTTGACGCACTTGGCTCCGTTGAGCATTTTTGCTGATGTTGTTGATCTGGCTGCCATGGGAGTGGTGATTGTTAAGGATGTTTTTTTAATGATGGAAAATAGGCCTGAAGTTAAAGCCTTTGGAGGTTTGTCCGTGTTTTTCTACGGGATGGGCGTGGCTGTATATGCATTTGAAGGGATTGGTATGGTTTTGCCAATAGAATCTGAAACGAAAGAGAGGGAAACGTTTGGGAAAATCTTAGGTTTGAGCATGGGGCTTATATCAGTGATATATGGAGCTTTTGGTGTGCTGGGTTACTTTGCATTTGGAAATGATACTCAGGATATTATCACTGCTAATTTAGGGCCTGGGCTCATTAGCCTTTTGGTTCAATTGGGTCTTTGTGTCAATCTGTTTTTCACATTTCCCCTGATGATGAACCCTGTTTATGAGATAGTGGAGAGAAGGTTCTGGGGTGGCAGGTATTGCCTGTGGCTTAGATGGCTGTCGGTTATGGTGGTTACTCTGGTGGCTTTAACGGTGCCAAATTTCGCCGATTTCTTGTCCTTGGTGGGGAGCAGTGTATGTTGTGGATTGGGATTTGTTTTGCCAGCTTTGTTTCACTTGCTTGTGTTCAAGGAAGAGATGAACTGGAAAGGATGGACAATTGATGTGGGGATTGTGTCCTTGGGCCTTGTTCTTGCGGTTTCAGGGACTTGGTATGCTCTCATGGAGATCTTCGCTATCAAGGCATAGGTATGTTGTCCTCAGAACATGGAAGATGTGAATCATAGCAGTCAGCTTGTGTTCTTATCCCTACACAGTGGTTTATTTTCTCTCATTGTGAAGCTACCTCATCAATCCTAATATGGAAGACGATGTCTGATTAAGAGAAAGTTCAGCACCATGAAACTCCATCATGGATCACAACCTTGTGCGCTGCATTATTGCTGTATATGATATTCCAAAATGGATTATAACCATGTGTGCCTCATCATTGTTTCATTTGTGGCGTTATTTGAGAATGAACTTGTTTTACATTTGTCTCGAGAAATTTAATAATGCCAGGACAGACTCTGTCGAGCAAAATCGTTGCTGCCGAACAAGTCAGCATTGCTTCACAGCACTCGGCTCATACAAAATGAAAGGTCAGCGAATCTAGAGTCTGACTAGCACATTAAGTTTGGAAATCTTACATGGAGTTCCTCGAGTTCAGCATATGTGTTCGACACTAGTTCGAATATGTGTTTGTAAAATAGAGATCCTCAAGCAAGTGCGAGGCTCTGATCCCCGAAACACATAAAAAAAGCTCTGCAAAGATTTTGATCCATGCAAAAAGCCAGTAACTTCCTTCGAATTCCGTGTTTACCATGGAAGTGTCAAATAGCAATGGAATTAGTTATAAAAAAAATTGTCAATCATTTCCAATGACAATACCGACCGAAAATATTCACCAACAAATTCCAACAAAACTTTTTTTTTTTGTTACTAATTAACGATGAAATTTTTGATATAATAAAAATATTTTAAAAAACAAAAAATATTAATAGTTGATTCATTCCACATTAATTTTTGTTGGCAAAAATATTTTATTGATAAATATAAAAATATTATATTTTATTGATAAATATAAAAATATTATCACCGATAGCAGCCCATTTACCCTGTTTCTTCTTTTTCTTTCATCGTAAAAAACAACCCCTTTTATTTTGCCACAAACCTAGGCGTTATCCTCGTAAATTTCACCAATTTGTAATTTACATACATATTTAGTTAAAGCATTTTTATAGATAATTTTGTTATTTTTAAATATGATTTGTATGTTAAGATTTGTTTGTGATTTGATATAAAAAAATATTTTTTTATAATTTGATGAAATTAAATTAAATTTTATAACTTAAATATGTTATATATAAAGAAATGATAAGTTATTTAATTGGTATAAATAATAATTATTTATTACATTGTGAATTTATTTTTAATTATCAAAATTAAATTTTAAATTGATGATTACATCATTAATAAATGTTATTATCAATATTATATATATATTTCTTAAATAATAAATAATAGTTCTTAAATGTATCGACACTTATCGTAAGGATTTTATAGTGAAGATTATTATAAACAGATTATGGATTTTATTGGCCTATCCTAGGGATTTTAAATATTTTTTAAATAATAGATGATCGTTTATTTTATATATATTAGCTTTGATAAATGGAGCAACTTAACACAACAGGGAGATGAAGACAGGAGATATCTTTGAATTGTCTTCCACACTTAGCCGTGTAATTTTCGATTGTATCTATAACTGTACAGTTAATCTGTAAAGAAGGAAAAAAAACATGAGGAAAACAAGGAAACTATCGAGTAACTAGCTGGATTATTTTGAACTAGTAACATAATGGATGGACTGAATAAATGGTGCCCATTCTACTGGGTTTTCTGTCGAAGTTGCCGACCAAGTTTCTGGAGTTGCTACTGAAGATTCTGATATTCTAACACCTTGTACTTGAAGTTTATCTGGAGTCTTATTCTCTCAAGGCTTCTCTTCTGTGGTTACCAAGGGATTTCAATTCCTGGCCTCGAGATATCAGCAGAGGACACCGAGTTTCTACTTTCTGGTTCGAGATTGAAGAAGTGGCTGACTTCAGCAAGTCTGTTTTGTCTTCTCCGTAGTTTTTAAAACCCTGTCTTGTGTTTGGCTCGAAACAAGGCTTAAGTGACCTGTACAGGTCGCGGGGGTTAAGTTATGATTAATTTTTTTAAATCATAGTGATATTATTTTAATTAAAAAAAATTAATAAGTTTTTAATTGAGTTTTATTATGATTATGTATATAAATTCAAGTTTTTAATTAAAGTCAACTGAGTTATTTTTTAATATTTTTTTTTTCAATATACATCAGTTTAGATCTTGATTGGTGGGTCCTAGATCAACCTACCCTAACTATTACAAGCTGGGGTTTTTTGTTTCCAATTGTGTGTCTAAAACAGTTTTAAATTTTTAAAATATGAACGCGTATAGAACAAATTTAAATTAAATATTTTTCTTCAATTGCTTTTTTTTATAGATTAATATTGATATTTGAACTAATTTGTAAATATCTTAATTAATTCTATAAACTCTAAAGTTATTGGTCATATAAATATCAAGTTATTTTAAAATTTATAAAACTCAAACTAATAATTTTTAAAAATTAAATTTATAATTTAATTAGTTGAGCAATACCTTTTAGGATTTCTTCAATTAACCTTTTATATCGAGAGGCGCCGTCCATCGGGTGGCGGAGGGAGGGGGTTGGTAGGGACCGGCCCCAGCGAAGAGGTTTTTCCCAGTTCTTTTCTTATAAAATAATTGAAATTTTAATTTTTTTAAAATAATTTTTTTAATTTAACCCTTTTTTTTTTTTTTACTCCACCCCTGCATCCATCCATGTCATGTGACAAACATAGCCTGAGGTAAGGTTAGAGGGGAGAAAGCAATGGTGTAGTCTTCGATAGGGATTTTTTTTAAAAAAATTTTTTTATTTAAAAATATATTAATATAAATTTTTAAATTTATTTTTCTATATTAATTGATCAAAACAATCAAAAAAAAAAATTAAACAAAAAAATTCAATTTTTTCAGTAAAAACACGGTCACTCATATTGTTAAACACTATTATTGTATTTATTCTAGTAGTTGAATTGCGTTTTCCAAGATATTTTTTTAGTTTTAAATTATTATTATTATTATTTTAAATTATTTTAATACGTAATTATAAAAAAAATTATTTTAGTATATTTTTAAAATAATTTCTAATATAGTTTTAAGATTGTTTATTTTTGTTGTTGAAATTATGTTCTATGATTTTTTTTAAAATTTAATATTTTTAAATTATTTGATATATTAATATAAAAAATAATTTTTATATATTTTTTAATAAAAAATATTTTTAAAAATAACAATCAATTCATGTCGATAATTACCCGACACACAATACAATCCAAAGAACTCTATTTCACTAAAGTTGATTCCCAGCTCTTCAGAAACAAACACGCGCATTAGAAAAGGAGGGGAGATGGCGAGGGGGACACTCTTTTTGCATGTTTGGCTTCTTGTTAACCTTTTTCTTTTTTAAAGTTGTAAAAAAAAAAAAGTATACTGTGATGCAGTATTTTTTAAAATAATTTTTTAATTAAATATATATTTTTATGAGTATTTTTTTATTTGAATATTGATATATTAAAAATATCTAAAAATATTAATTTAATATTTTTTCAAATAAAAAATAATTAAACATGTTATAACACAAAACAAACTCCCAACGAAAATTAAAAAATAAAAAAATTTACATCATTATAACAAAAACTATAATATAGATTAATTAATTATATATTTTCAAACCTATATTTAAAATAAAACACAAAGCGCACTTCACCCAACCGCAAACCAACAGAGCCTGCAACTTTCAACTAGTCTCAAAGTAAAGTGTGCCCACACGTTGCAGCTGTCTCCAGCCCATTTCCCTCCCATTCTCTGTTTTTCCCCACCTCACCCCTCTTTATTTACCCCCCCACCTCCCCTCTTCTCCTCACCACCACCAAACCCCTTCTCCTCCTCATCCTCTTCCTCCACCACCATCACACCACTCAAAATGTCACAACGTCCTTATTCTCCCCTTTCATTTTGTTGTGCCCTTTTCATACCGTTACTATTTATTCACCATGTCTATGCTTCAACTTCTTCAACTAGTTCCCCACAAGTTCAAACCTTGAACACGAAACCAGATATTATAAACCCAAAACTACCACCAAGAACCCTCTCATCCTCTAAGAAATTCGAGGGCTCATCAGATTTAGTCCACCTTCGTTACCATATGGGTCCAGTCCTCTCTTCTGCCCCAATAAACATCTACCTTATCTGGTATGGCCGTTGGGCTAATTCTCAAAAACTTCTCATCAAAGACTTCATTAACTCCATCTCCCCCTCAACTGTTGCCGCCAAGCCCTCCGTCTCTGAGTGGTGGCGCACTGTGTCTTTGTACACAGATCAAACTGGGGCTAACGTCTCACGTTCAATACTCATAGCTGGCGAATATGCTGATAGTGCTTATTCACATGGGACTGGCTTAACAAGACTTACAATCCAACAAGTGATAGCTTCAGCAGTAAGGTCTGCACCATTCCCAGTAGATCACAAGAATGGGATCTACCTCATATTGACCTCACAAGATGTGACCATGCAAGACTTCTGTAGAGCAGTGTGTGGGTTCCATTACTTTACATTTCCATCAATGGTTGGCTACACATTGCCTTATGCTTGGGTTGGTAATTCAGGCAAACAATGCCCTGAAGTCTGTGCTTACCCTTTTGCAGTCCCTGGTTATATGGGTGGAGGTGGGCCAGGAGCCTTGAAGCCACCGAATGGGGATGTGGGTGTTGATGGAATGATTAGTGTTATCGGCCATGAACTTGCAGAGTTGTCTTCAAATCCCTTGGTGAATGCTTGGTATGCGGGGGAGGATCCAACAGCACCAACTGAGATAGGGGATTTGTGTGAAGGGTTGTATGGGACAGGTGGTGGTGGGGGGTATACAGGGCAGGTGATGAGGGATAGGAAAGGTAGGACGTTTAATTTGAATGGTAGAAGAGGGAGGAAGTTCTTGGTGCAATGGATCTGGAGCCCCGAATTGAAGGCATGTGCCGGTCCTAATGCTTTGGACTGATAAGGTGTTGGCCTTTTCTAGGACCTTGAAAAGTGGGAAACAAAAAAAAGAGAGAGAGAGAGAGAGAGAGAAATAGACGATCGATTGTTAAAAAAGTCAGGTTCTATGCTCTTGAATTTGATTTTTCTTTCAATTTCTTCTAGTTCTTGGGGTTATCTTGCTGGTGGAAATTGTCTGTATACACGAGTGAAGAAGGTGGAGGTTGGGGAAGGAGGAGGGGAGAATTTTTTTCTTGTATTTCTTCAGTTTTTACTTATTTGTTTTTTTTTTATGATTAAAAATCAATGTAGTTGATCAGATGTACAAAAACAGAAGAAGCTGGTGATTTTAGATTTTGATGCTATATTAAAAGTATATTTATATATTTGAACTCGCATTTGATTGATATTTATTAGCTTAGATTTTTCCCGCAAGCGATGAATGCTGTCTGAGCACAGGCAAAAGGCCAACTGAATACTTTTCTTGAATGCTGAGATGGTCATGAAAAAAATATTATTTTTGTGAATACTTTTCTCGATCTCGCTTGCCAAGAGGCTACTTTTCAACTTGCAATATATTTTTCTAGTAGACCCCATAAATATCTGTTGGATTTGGATGCCTTTTCTCTTCATCTTTCTGCTTTTGAACTTCAGGACCTGGTGTTTTAAGATTCAGACATACGAGTGGACTTTGTTAATTTTGTGTTTGTTTAATGTATAGAAATGAAAAAACTCCATGTTTTAAGATTCAGACCCGGTGTTTAAAGCAATCTGACTGCACGATGATTACTTTGAACTTGAGAGGGAAGCTACGGATAATTCCATTGCAGAACGTGATTTTTCATGCCTTACAGTGTTGCTAGAGGTTAGAGATGACCCAGATGGGATCAACATGTTCCAGTTGAAACTGGAAAAAACTACTGCCTATACGAAATAGCGCAGAAAAATGATGATAATATGTTGGTGTACATGAATCCAAAAAAGATGGTATGAATCTGTACTTGTTAATTGTTATTTCTAAGTTAAGATACTTGAAGTGAAGTGTGATCTTGGATTATGCTGCTAAACATATATTATAATAATTTTAACCAATCCAAAGCCAGATAAAGGAAAAAGGTTTGCCTCCAATAGCAAACCCCTCTTATACTCATGATACTCATGGAAGTGATCGTGTTTGTTCTCTCTTTTCTCTTGCCTGCTTTTCTGGCGATGGGTATGGGCAAGAATTTGAAAGTGAAATCATGACTTGAATTTATGATCAAATAAAGGTCAAACATTTTCTTGTCCTTTAACTGGTATGCTAGAAGGGAGTGGAGATGGTTGTTTAACTTAATATTAATTATATATATTTTTATCGTATAAATGTGTGCTTGTTTTTTAAATTGCACAGCAGATTGGTATGTTAGAAGGGAGTGGAGATGATAGTTTAAGTTAAGATTAATTATATATATTTTATGGTATAAACGTGTGCTTGTTTTTGAAATTGCTCAGCAGATTTCGGAGTGAAAAGCATTATTATATCAAACAAACTTTAACGCAACGTGAGCGGGTGAGTGATGCACAGCTAATATTTGGGACCCATAAAAGTACATATCTACCGTGGTTGATTGTTCTGAACCACTTATGAGCCTTGTCCTGATTTTTCAGGTCCATGCCATGTTACTAGTGGTGGCCCGGTTCGGTAGAGGTTTTGATGCTTAGGTTGGTGTGTAGTCGGGCTTCTGCAAGAAGATTATGACATAAGATGCAAGTCAGGAGGTCTCCAAGGTTCAAGGTCTAACCCAGCAAGACTCGAGAAACTGTTCCAAGAAACTGATGCCCTCATTTTCCATTCAGTAAAAAAACAAAACTTATGAGGATGTGACAGTAGGTGGATTAAAGAGATTCCTCATCTATCAAGTTGTTATTATCTTAAGAGGAGGGGTTTTGAATGGAAGTAAAAAACAAAGTATGGTGGAAGTAAAAAACAAAGTGTGGTGGTCAATGTACAATTGCAGAATGGATATTGCCCCGTAAATCTTGGTTGATGGTGATATTTGCTGCTTCAGGCTAAGATAAAACAAGACCAGGCAGGATTATGTGAAAGGTTAAATGGGAAAATGTCAAAAATATGTAGTGTCATCATATAGCTGATTCCATCTCATGGCTAGTGAGTGACCCACTATAGAGAGAGAGGTCCCTCTCCCACTCATAAAGTCCGTCCAAATCAATGAGTTGGAGAGCCACATGCAGTGTAATGAAGAGGCTGCCTTTGCATGAGAAAGAGACAATATGCCAGACGAGATTTTGGGCACAGAATTTCACCAACTCGAAATAGAACTCCAAATAAAATTGTTACGTGACATTTGCTTGTTAACTAATATATATGTTGTGGGTTGCTGATCCAGAAAGAGACAATTATCTGGTTAATTAGCAGCCACATAAAGGAAATTGAATTTGGTTCTGTTTAATGGTATGGCAGTTCGATGGTTATGTGGCCACAAGTAGTAGGCTGGCTTGCAATGCAGGAGAATGTCTTTTTCCATGCTTAAACGACGAAACTGATTGGAACTTGAGAAATTGTTATTTAGACTGGTGATCTCTTCTTTGTTAACAGGATATGCACTGCAGCACAACGTGGCCCAAACTCATGAGATGATCAAAGGCATATGCTGCACCGACATTTCAAACTCTATTCCATGGATCATATTTTCAGCTTCTGATGATATTTATAGCGTTCGCATCATAGATTCCTTAACACGGCTACTGTGCATGAGCTAGGTCATGATCACCTGCTGTGACTTGTCAGATTTCTCTGCCTGCACTCTTATCACGTACAGTGATAATGTCGGTAATTGGCTACCATGTTAACATCTAAAGAATTATGACAAATCATGATCATGTGAAGGTCAATAATCTCTGGCCCTTCATTTGCTCTCTTCCTTGTTCTCTTCCAGTTGGCCCAAAATATTATTTTGTTCTTATGATCATCTCCCTCCCTGCTTCATTTGACCTTATATATGATTTCTGAGATTAATGTAAAGGTCAGGTGCACTGTTGTTTTATAAGCTGAAATAGTTATACCCTGTTGGACCTGAAATTGTTATTATCTGAAATAATTAGTATCCATCAATACACAGAAATCATTAAGTTCTTAATTCTGATTTCATGGCAAGCATCGCGGTGAGGATTTTAAACGTCATCTGCTTGTTCGAATTCTGTTTCCATATCTGGAGGAGGATTAGACTCCATGTTGTTGTGATGCGGCAAGGGATGCGTGAATTGGGCAAACCACACAGCTTCAACAACCACTCACATTCCCAGGTGTTAGTCATCTACATCCCTGCAGTTCACTTGTGCTATTCACCAACCTTTGAGGGCAGTTACATGTCAAACCTTGTCATGTATGGCCATGTGTTAGTCTGACAGAACTTCAAGTGCCACTTATTGCCAACATAAGACTTTGATTGCAGCTATATTTATTAACTGTCTGCGTCTTGTAATTCAAGTATACAAATTACAGCATACCCTTTGAGATAGAGGCAAAAGAAAGCAAGGAGGATAATGGCAGATACCAGAGGAGGTACCGTGGGTTGCAATGATGAGTGTGGATGTCCTGTTCCTTGCCCTGGTGGCACATCCTGCGGATCTTGATAGTTGCCATGATTTAATAATTTTCTTTTCTCTTTTTTTTTTTGTTTTTAACATAACATTCTGCCTGATAATGCATACAGGTGTAGTTCAATGAAGGCCACAAGCGGAGAGGGAGCTGGGCACAACAAATGCTCGTGTGGCGAGCACTGTGGCTGCAATCCAGGCACATGCCCTAGGAGCGTGGTGACTACTGGGGTGGGCAAGGCCTACTGTAAGTGTGGTGCTGATTGTGCTTGTCCAACCTGCAGTTCTTGAGGGGAAGCTTTAGCCAGCTCAAGTAGAACGAAGGCAAGCTCCATCATTTCATCGATGATGAGTGGCATGAGCATCTGGTTAAATAAGGAATTGCCTGGATTGGTGCTTAAAGTATAAGCAGTACTATGTTGTAGCTCCCATGTTATTATGTGCGTGTGCTTGAGGATGTTTGTGCAAATGCTTCTCTTTTGTTTTTGAGATTTCCTCGAATGAAAATCCTCATTCATCAAGTGCTTAAAGGAGAGGCCATGATAGCTGAGATCTGCAAAAACATCCTTAGAGGAATCAGAAGGAACAACAAGAAGGGCACGATTAAAACGATGTTAATTGTTGTTGGTTATGCTGAAACTTTCAGAGGGAGAATTCAATCACCTCTAACAAGTATCCAGTTTGATAGTAAGCTTAAAATGCAAACAATGTTTCTAAGAACTACGAACAGCAAATTGGCACCCCAGATTTCAAGAAAAGAGAAAGTACTCTTAAAAGAGATTCTTAGCAGCAACCAAAAGGAAATTAGAATTAATTGTAGAAATCAAAAACCAAAGAACATAGGCAGCTAAATGCAGGAAAGTAGACGAGCACATGGAGGCTACACTAGACAGTAGAGATGGGATTTTCCATCTATATAGGGGATTAATCACCCTTAACAATACAAAAATGGAAATGGATTCTGTCACTGCAGCATCCTTAATGAGTTTCTTCATGAAATCCAGTAGAGAAATCCATATGTTAACATATTACGAGCACTAGCTAGGTTCTATCACTGCATCATCCTCGATGATTTTCTTTCTTCTATAGCCTCAAAACCGGGGCGGGGCCAAGTACTTATCTACAAACCAATCTGGTATGCTCCTGGAGATGAAGCTCAGCATTTTTACACCCCAGCAGCATCGAATTTACAGGATTAAATTGTTCGTTCTTAATTGTGAAATAAAATCTTTTTTCTCTACAAATTTATAACACTTGATCCCAACAGAATGGTGTCCTTCATTCAAGAATTTTCATCGAAATGACGGTACTGATATATGTCATGATCAGGACTCTCTTAACGTGCTAAGAGCATTAGTGAAATTCAAAGGCCAGTTGAGGAATACAACAGCAGTCCTGATAATGAGCTTCGAAGTTGTTACCCCCAATTCCACCTTCAATTACCGAGCTATATTCCATCTTAGTAATCTCCATGCTTTTCTAGAAAGTCTAGTTATTATTTGAATGACTCTAGCTGTGCAATGGCTGGTCAGTAAATGCAGCCAATGTGATATTTGTCTTTGCGAGACTGACTCCGAAGTAAATAAGCTAAGATAAGCTGTATCTGAGAGACTGGTTCTGAATATTTAGCTCAACAATAAGCAGCAGCTTCAAGTTCATGCGCAGGAGTGGCTTTTTACCATATAAGTGAAATCGAATCCAAAAGGTTACACCACTCTGTAAAATTCAAATCCAGTTTTGTGCATGAATGCATCAGCTGGAGATGAGATAAAAATAAGTGCGTGGCTTTCATAGTTTATGTTTCTGAACTGAGTAATTTTGTAAGCTAGCGAGGTTTAAAAAAATTATTATTTTTTTAAATAATACTTAAAAAAAATATTTCATGTAGATAGCAACTATTACTCTCGTGTTGTGGATGGTATTTATGATATTTACGGTTTTTTTTAACAAACTCATTCTAGGGCAATCTTTTTTGTTATAAACTCCTTGTAGAAAAAAAAGAAACTAGTTCGAATAATTTAAATTACCAGTTTTCCAGCATCAAAACACAATTCAATCTTAAATAATAAATTTAAATAGATAATTAACATGACATAATATTTTATTAAAATTAAACAAATTATACATCTATTCATAATTCTCATAACATATAATAATATATAACTATATTTAATAATCATCCTGCCTCGTATAAGGGTCTTCCAACTCGAGAATGAGTTTGTAATATCCATATAGGTATAGAAAGGACCAATAGAATTCTAAGTCACTTGTAGATGGACCTAGGTCGTTTATGGATGGGCATGAAACGCTTATAGATGGACCAATATCCTTAACATTTCTACGATAAACAATCTCATCTTCTGTTAATGTCACTTCAAGACGCCCAACCTTCCTAACTTCTTGAAGTCCATCACGATATAAATTAAGCGTAGTGTTGGCCACAATACGTCTCATCTCATCGATACCTTTATAGATAATCATTGTTGCTTTTCTAGCTTCTTGTACTAAGTAATTAATCTATATACATATATTAAAAACCAATTAGTATTAAAAACCAATTAGCAGTCATCATTAACAATAAAATTAATCTAATATTTAATAAATATTAAATGTAAAACAACTAGGCTCGTCTCCCAATCACATATCAACGAAGCAAATCCAAAAACTAACTCCAATTATTGTTCATCTCTTCTTCCATAGTAGCAAAACAAATAGATCACATAATATTCTTGATAATTCGTTAAGGAACGTATATGTTTGATGTAGCAGTTATGAATTCACGACTTCCATCATTATAAGTGATATCATTGTCGGAATTAATAATGATACCCTCATGGAAGAATAATATTTCTAGATTATCTAACATCCTATCAAACAACACAATAAAATATAACTCTAATTTATTAATATATGTTAATCAAAGTGTTTCAATTACAAAAAAAAAAAACCTTACTATTAACTTAAAATATATCTAATTAAATTAATTCATAATTTAACATAAATCAATACTAACTATTCAAACTCATAATTTTGTTAATTCACAATTAACAAGAACCTAAAATAACTGATTATTTAACAAAATAACCTAATTATATCTAATTAACAACCTAAATTACATCTAATTGATCTAATTTTTAATTTAAAATCCTAATATTTAATAAAATCAAATTATTATTATTTAAACATATATTTCATTAAATTAATTGAAAGAAAGTGTTCAATATTTCTTTAAACATGGAATGTTGGTGGTAATGGTGATCAGTGATCTCTGCTTTGACGGGGAACATGACTCACCATGGATAGAGCTAGACAGAGATAGGTGATGAAGGGCTGCTTTGAATGTTTTTTGCTGCGAGGAGAGAGAGATCCAGGTGATGGTGAGAGGCGGTGGCTATAGGGAGAAAAAGAAAGAGGGAGGAGTAAAGAAGAAAAGGGAGAAGAAAGGGTTTTTATGGTTAAAATTCGAATGAAATTAGTCATTTACAACACGTGAAAGCGTGCTAGTTACGTGATTATTATTTTTAAATGTGTTACTTTACTATTTTTTTTGCCTGTGTTAAAAAAAAAAAATACCCCTCCTTGAAGTCCTGTTAAGAGGTTTGTCCGCAGGAAAATTACAGTTGTTTCCATTAATCAATATGCATGAATGCAGGCTCTACTGTTCTTTCTCAAAGCTGACACTTGAAGGACGCGCTTGAAACAGGAAAGCTTTAATTGAACTACCGTCGGAGACAAAAGATGGTGTAAAGAACTTATTTATACATGTGAAGCCCTTCAATTAAAAACCCATCAAGTTACATAATCTTGTAACTCAGCCTGTCTGATTTTGAAAGGACACTTATTCTCATTGAAAGGACGTCTGGACTGAGTTAAATCACCCATGTACTTCCATCTTTTTGATCTGGTAACTCATAGTGTGCTCTTTCCACTGGTCCTTGTCCAGATACCTTTCGTAAAAGTTAACCTCTCCACTTGATTTTACGGACAATGCACAAGTACTTCTAGTTCCATATCGTCCCTGCATATCAAGGAGATTATTGAGATGGGTTTGCCAGCAGAATTGCATGTGGAGCAGAGAGAGTATTTGGAATGGAAAATGATTTACCAGGGGAGTGTCTGCCTCGATGAATATAGAACTTAACTGATGTTCCCGCTCAGAAGGATAAATTCCAGGAAGCATGCTTTCATCATCTTTAATTGTGTTGGTCATTAGTATTTCAGCCATCTCTTTTGTGGGAAGTTCCGCTTCACCATATTTTTCCAGTAGATCTTTAAAACCATGGCCAAGACGTTGTGCCTAGAGAAACAAAAAAAAAACCCACTTCAACTGAGCGTTGCACACATCACAATTAAAACTCTGCTTCCAAACATATATATATATATATATATATATATATATAAACTAAGCCGCTTCAGTAATAAAGATATGCATATCTTGTAGATAAGCCATCCTTGGCAAACCATAGGCAATGATTGCGAGTGTGTTCACGGCTGCCAACGCATATCTCCAGGAATATAATTGTGGAAGCAAAAGCATGACAGACAGTATTACCTTAGGCCATGGAGAGTCTAGGCTTGCATTTGACAGTACATGCATCCCTGGTGTCACCTCCATGACCATGACATTTTCTGATTTTGGTCTATTTGTTAAATAAACCATGGATTTAGAAGTTATATCAGCTAATATCAGGTTAAACCCATTATACTGATCTGCCTCCTTGGAAAGCTCCTCTGCATATTCCTTTGGGTTCTTGTTGCTCTGCAATCATAAATTCTATTACAGCCAAAGCTTTCAAAATGGATAATAAAAAGGCCACAGCAGTTACATCTGAAGCTAAATGTTGTGAATTCACTCCTAGTCCTACGCAAGGGCATGATCATATTCATCAATCCTGAATGTTTAAGGTGTTGGAGAGAGCCACAGCGAAGAAGACAAAGTTGAAAAGCTTTATTGAGAAAAAATAAGAGAATCAAGGTTTGACACTAGATTAAAGAGTGGAAGAGCTATCAATGAATCATCGGGTGAAGGATTTGTTCAGGCCCCACAACATCAGTATATAATTTTTAAGCTATCAATGACCTTAACCCCAAAGTCTCTCCTTCCCTAACCTATCACATCCCAAAATTAATTTACCCTTTTCAAGCTTCCCCGTTTAAAGAAGAATGGCCAAGAGTCCTTGCAATTAAAGGAACGGTCTTTTATCAATTACCCACTGGCATAACATCCAAAACAAGCAGAGAGGAAATGAGTCGTCAATTAGAAATTAGAATTCAAACATGATTAAAACCAAACATAAAGAAAATTTACCTCTAAAAAACGAAGAGTAAGGTCACCTCGAGACTTAGCTTGAGGGATTGATTTAACTTCTCTAACATTAGTGATAAAAGCAATCTTACCATCTCTGGTGCAACCCAGCCATGTCCCACCTGCAAGCTCATCTTTCCCACCTAGAATCTCTCCACCTTCCCACCATCCCAGAGGCTTTGTTGGCCTAATTCCAAACAGAAACAAATT